TTAGCAGACATCCCCAGTGGGCTAGCCTTCCAAGCTTGCACAGCAACTATGGACCTTAATATGTTCGTCTCTGCTGTGTGTCTCCATCTGGAAATGGCTTTAGATGGCATGGCTTGTCTTGGTCATGCCAGCATACTAACCTTCCCAAGGGTAGGGCTGTGGGTTCCCTTAATGGAATTTTAATAGAGGGCCAGGCTGGGCCTGGAAGTCCTGCTGGGGTTCCTGGAAATCCCCCGAGCCTTGGAAGGCAGTGGAGCGTGTGATCTGGTTTTGCATATTGAGCAAGTGTGCATGGTCTAAGAGGTGCTCCTCCACTGCAGCCTGTGGCCAGTCTCACCTTGTGACTTAGATCCAAGGATACGAGCATGCCCACCACCCCAGGCACCTTGGCATTGGGCCAGTGTGCTGTCCCTCCGTTCCTGGGATGCAAGATTATTACTGCAAGGGAAGGTGGTGGGATCTCCAGCATGGGAAGAATTTACCAGAGTCTCATCTTGTTAAGCAAGTCTGACTGGGGCTCCTCTCTCAACTGACTATGTCCCCTCCACGCCCCTTCTTCCCTACGCTGCCACTTCTTGAAGTGGGCTGGGTGCTCACATTCTGTGAGCTGGGCTCTCCCACAGCCCAGGACTGCCTCATCTCAGAGCTTGGGTATGGCCTGCCCCCCTATCTTCCCAGGATAAGTAATTTTCTTCACCTTGGATCACTGCTGGAATGTGGTGGAGCACAGCGGCACTGCAGTCAGGGTTGGTGCTGTGCAGACAGACACGGAGTTGTCTGCTTCTCTCAGACCCCAGTGAGCAGCTTGGTGTCCAGGGTTTGGTGACACTGCCAAGGCGCAGCTGTCAGCAGCCCAATGGATAAGACTGATGGCTCAGTGGATTGAAGGACAGGAGAAGAGGGGGCGCATTGTATCTGCTGGGGGCTGGGCTTCCAAACCCGGCATGCCTGGGGAAGGGCACTCTTCCTGTTGGCTTCTCTGCCTGTCTCAGATCCCAAACAGCCGATAGCTCTGGGCTCCATCCAGCCCTAGGCAGTCTAGCCTGAACTAACCAGATCCCAGAAACCCACTTCCCTCTCCTGCTAGCGCCTCTGTCTGGAGCACCCGTTTGACGTATCCACTGAGGTAAGCGGCTACAAAGGGCCCACGTGCTCGGCTCTGGACTGTGAACATGATGTTCAACTGCTGAAGCCCATGGTCAATGGAGCGGCTCTCCCCCCTCCCCCCCGCCAGGAGCAGGGAACATTTTGCCAGGCTTGGATTAACTTTTGCATTACTGAGCCCCACCCCAGCACTGTATTAACTCAGGGACATATCCTGGTGGAGGGGGAGGAGGTAGGGAGCGTGGTGCTGGGTGCAGATTGAGCAATCCAGCTTGCGGAAGACAATGCCAAGGTCACCAGCCAGGTCCCAGCTGGCAGCTGGTTTCCAAATGATGGAGACATCAGGGTCTCACTGATTGCAGCCTCCAGTGCCCGTACCTACTCTGCGGATTTGTGCCTGTCCTGGTTAGGGAAGCCTCTTGGTTTAAGGGGCTCCCTGAGTAATCTGTCAAACCAAGTCAGGCTCCTTAAGTGACTGACCTGGGAGTGAGAGGCTAGACCAACAGAGCAGCTGTGACGCAGCCTAGTGTGGCCTAAGTCGCCCACGTGAGAAGCCAGGTGCCAGAGATGGAGGGATGCTTCTCACCCAGGAGCTCAGCAGGCATCCCCTGCCACCTTTAGTATGTTCATTTTGCAGCAACCTTGCCTCGCTTGCAAAGCAGCTTCCAGTCCTAAGTCCTCCCCGCCCTTCCCCCCCCCCCAGAGAGAGAGAGAGAGAGAGAGAGAGAGAGAAAGAGAGAGAGAGAGAGAGAGAGAGAAAGAGAAAAATAACCTACATGACCTGGACTTATATAATCTCCCCGTCCCTGAACAGCTGGAACTCCAGGCTTCAGAAGATGAGTCAGCAGCCCAAGTGGCAATTGGAACTCAGGTAACTCGGTTCCAGATCCCGTGCTCCAGGGAAGCAGGTCTTGGAGCAGAGGGCAAGCGCGTGGAAGAGACTGCGTGGGAAAGATCGGGCTGGGTCAGGACCTGCAGCCTCCTTCCCTGGCTCTGTGTGCGAGCAGCAGGTGCCCAAGCTGCTAGCAGTGCTGCCCAAGGCCCTGGGCCAGTCCCTGACTCTTCTTGACAAGAGGTTGGGGAAGTGGGGGAGGGGAGCCCAGGCAGGGAGGAGTGGGGGCAGGGTTGAGGCCAGTGGGCAGGGTGCCAGGCTGGTGAGGGAGCAGCTGGAGGGGTGGAGCTGCAGGAGGAGGATTAGGGAGGGCTAGCAGGGGTTAAAGCTCAGCCCTGGCAGGGTTCAGTGGGAACAGCTTGTCCTTCCATAGGCCATGGGAGCAGGAGGGGTGGGTGGAGGGGGAGGTGATGGGAATTGGGTATGCCAGGAGCCTGGGGGCTCTGCAGGGCCCAGCCACCTGGACTGGCCGGGAGTTCGCACTGCTGGGTGGCAAAAGGTTTCAGAAACTCTTTCTTTTTGGCCCCATCACTGCCCCTCCCTGTCTCCTCTGTGTACATTTTACATGGAGGGTGGAGCCTTAGGGCAGGTGCTGCTGAGTGGCTGGCCTTTTATTGGTGCTTTATGGGCATGGGAGCAGGGTTGTTTGGAGCTTAAGACTCCCTCTCCCCCTCAAATTCGCCAGACCCCTCAGTTCTTTCCTAATGCTCAACTGAATTTCTAATAATCCAAGGCCACCCTTTTTCTGAACACCAAGTATGGTTCAGGTCAGCTGCCCGCAGTCCCCTGGGCGACAGAATGCACTTTCTCACCAATGTCCCTCCCCAACCCAGGCCCTGCCCACTGGAAGCAGCTACCCAGGCCTCCTCCTCCTCCTGTCGGGCGTTGCCCTGGTTTCAGATTCCTCCACTGATTGTTCTGGGCATCCCCGGGAGGGGGCGGAGCAGGCAGGCTCTTCAGCCTTTTACAGAGGAGGAAATACAGTGGAGCTGATAGGTGTCCAAGGTCGAAAGAGGCCATGGCTCCTTCCCTCAGTCACAGGAGCCTAACCTGGCCTCGGGTGAACTCTCTCACTCTCACCGCTCATCTGCCTCTGACTGCACTTCCCCCACAAAGGCTCCCAGGGCAGGGCAAAGGCTTCTGTGTCAATTCTCCTCCCAGAACACCAGGCAGGTGCAAAGGACGCCCTACTACATGCCAGGCCCTTCCAGTCTCCTCCCAGCGACCCGGGAGGCAGGAGCTGTGAGTGATCACGGGTTCAGAGAGCAGGTTCAGGAGGTGAGGGACCTGAGCTGATTCTGCTAGCCAGGCCCAGGCACTGTAAATGAGCGACTGAGAAGGGCAGGTCCCTTTGAAGGGAGGTTCTGAGAACCCAAACCAGGTGTTTAGACACAAGGGGTTTGGACTGCACGAACAGCCAAGGTTTGTCCTTGGCAAGTGCAGGGAGCTCCAGGAGTGGGGGTGGGAGGCTCAAGGGCAACTGAAGTCATATACCCTTGGTCCCTGGCTTCAGAATGTGCTCACCTCTAGGCATGCCCAGCCAACCTGCCAGCCCACCCAACCGCCTGTGCACGTGTGTTGTGTGGCTGCGTCTGCGATGGAAGGGGTCGTGTTAGGGTGCCGAGTTGGCCCCAGTAACTGTCTCGGTCCATCCTTATGGCTCCCCTCCCCCGGAACTGGGGCTGGGGGAGGGTTGGGATATGTGCGTTGGGGAAAGAGGCAATTTCCAATAGGGCTCTCCTCCGCCCCAAAGTGGTGCAAAGGGCAAATGCCCAAGCCCCCTCCCAACAGAATTCAAACCAATGGTTGGTTCTGGGTCAGTCCTTAAACCCTGAACATAATTCTGAGGCAGGCAAGTAGCAGCCCCAGTTTCGGGTTTCTGAGCAAAGGGAGGGAGCCTCAGGACCCAAGCTGCTCTGCTGGAAGCCATTCTGACTGCCCCTGGGGTGAACGACATCAGACCTGTCTGTGTGAAATGCCATCCCACCCCAGGGTATGGCGCAGGGGCCCCCCCAAGAGTACCAGCTCTTAGGGGTGTGTTAGATTCCCATCGTTCTCCAGTTCCTTTCTAAGCCAGCTCTCTGGCATGGCCAGTCCTGTTCCATCAGGGTCTGAATGTCCTGGAAGGAGGCTCCTGTCTTTTGTATATCAATAGCACTTCTCAGATGGTCCAGCAAGGCCAAGACTTGCCAAATGGTCATCAAAGGTGTCCTTTCAATGATCCAAGGCCAAACTTGAGTCCTGAACCCTTGCTGCACTTGCCTGGCTAAGGCCTCTAGGTAGTATTTCTTGGGGAAGTGGCACAGCTGTTCTTTCCAATAGGCTCATGTCCCAGGACTGGGGAAGGAGTAGCTAAGGTAACGGAGGAGACCCCAACCCTCCCACACATATGCTTGCTGTCCATCCTTCCACCCACCAATCCTCCCATGCAGTCAGGTCAGCTGAGCCCTGTGCTATGCCAGGCACATGGGGAGGGATTTAAGAGATTTTCTCGTTCAAGAGCACGCCACCTAATGGGTAAAATGATAAATACAGAAAGGGTGGCCTGTGGTCTGTGGCCCGAGAGGAGTGTATGTTCAAGGAAGGGATGTCTGAGAGGCAGCTGGGCTCCTGCAGAGCTGCCACCCTTTCAAGCAGAGGTGTTTGACCCAAGAAAAAGCATTCCCCACCATGTTCTCCGAACCGCCAATGACTGCAGAAGAATCCCTCTTCTGATGAGCTTATGGTCCAATACAGGGCCTGAGCAATAGAGAAGCAACCAGAGCAGGGAAACTCCATGGGAAGCACTGACCCCATGATGGGCAGAACCTGTAGGAGACACCACTGAGTGGAAAAGGAGAGGGTGAGAATAGCAGTGTGTGAGGATATGTGTGTGTGTGTGTGTGTGTGTGTGTGTGTGTGTGTGTGTGTTGGGGGAGGGTTTGCTAGAAATTCTATGAGTTCCTCTTCAGTCACTGGGCCGCCTCCCCAGCCCATCCCTGGGTCTTCCCCTGGGGACACTCACCATGGTGTCTCGTCCCGGGGAGCTGGAGCGGCTGGACCCCGGGCCCTGGACCTTGCTCTTCTCCCACGGTGTATAGCGGCCACTGGGTCTGTAGGTAGGGCTGAGAACTTCAGGAACTCCTCGTGAGGAAGGGGCCTGGGTGAGCACCTGGGGTGCACTGCCCTTACGACCATAGTTCTCCAAATAGTCCACCAGGTACTCGGGGCGGCTGGCAGCCTGATAGAGCCCCTGTAGGGCACACAGCTCCTTGCGTGTGCGGGCCAGCATGGGGCTGCGGCCCAGGTTCCCGGGATCGATCCGATAGCTGTCTGAGGTCCGGAGGCTGGAGAAATCCCTGGCCAGGTCCGACTGGCTGTTGGACTTCTTGTGGCTCAGGGTCACCCCCTGGTCACAGACATTCATGGGGAGGTAGCCGAGGGAGCTGCTGGTTACTCCATACGAGCATCCACTGCCGCCGCTGAGTCCACCTCCTGAAGGCCGCTCGGTGCCCCGTGTCTGGCTCTCTGCCCGCTTGCTACCCCGAATGACGTCGGGTCTCAGCAGGGGGCGGCCCCGGTCAAAATCCAGGATGGAGGAGGGGCCGTAGATGGTGGGACGGGTGAGGAAGCTGGTGGAGGGGTTCGGCTTGAAACTGAGCTTCTCCTTCTCCAGGAAGGAGGTGGCCAGGTTGGCCCCATAGGAGGACGGACTGTAGGTGCCATAGCCCGATTTGGCGTAAGGGGCATCAGTGTAGCGGGCTGATTCTGTGTAGCGCTTCAGGGTGGAGGAGAGCTGGGACATCCTTCAGGGCGGCACTCACTGGGGACTGGGAGCCTCATGGGCTGAAAAGCAAGGAGAGAAGGTGTCAAAGGCCTCAGCAGATGTCGAACCCCCGTGGCACCTGCTGGGGCCAGAACCTCACAGCCTAAAAGGGGCTGCCAGTACAAGGCCAAAGGCCACTAGAGGTTGACCAGGTGACAGAATCATACCCCACACCACCACACATTCTCCCTTGAAGAGTCCCACAGACAGCACACAGCAACTGCCCACCCTCCACAGTCCTCTGAGCCACCTGTAGCCTCCAGCCCAAACCCCATCCAGCCCAACCCCAAGCTTCTGAGTTTGTGGGGGATCCCACAGCTCCAGGCCCCCAGGCATTTCAACAGTGAAGATGGTGCCCTCCTTTCTAATGATGGACAGAGACTCTCTTGGTGTCAAGGACTGTCCATGCCAGTGACTGCAGAGTGGCCATCCAGAACCTCCGTGGAAGGAAGGAGACCCTTGGGAATGCTGGCGGGTAGGGGAGGCAATGAATGGGAGTGTGGCATACGGGCTGGAGTCCTACCTTGTCTGCATCCCAGAATCCTTCCAGATACAGGCATCTGCTGCCTGGGCCCAAGGTGGGGGACTCCCACCCTCTTCAGGGCCCTATCCCCTTTCCTCACCTACCCCTCCTGGCACAGGGGTTCCCCTACCAGCATACATCCTAGATTGCCCCGGGCACACTTGACTCATGCAAAAGGCACCCCCTGGAGGCCAGAATCCTACATTGCAGGAGGCATGGCTTCATGTTCCATGTAGTTGGGGTGGGTCTGGGAAGGAATACAGAGTACTGGCAATCATATGCCTTTAACCTCTCTTTTGTAACAGATGGAAAAAGCAGCGCTGATTTTGCTCAATGCGAGTCAAGATTGGAATCCAGGTCTTTGGGAATCCTGTCCAGGGAGCTTTTTGTGCAACCTTCATCGTCTCCATGCCACGAAACTGAGGTCAGCTGGGGACCCCTGATCCCCACCCCAGAGCCCATTACCCTATCGGGCAGAGGGAAAAGCAGGCATATCCTGGAGAGAGCAGCAGATAGGATCAGGCCCTTCTCCTCCAGGGCTCTTGGGGGGTGAGGGAGGAGAGGAGAAGTGACAGAGACATCCAGGACTCTGAGAGCACAGGGGCTGACTTTGATTTGCCCTGGGATGGACTACTGGGTGATTTGGTACCATTCATTTAGCTTCCTGGAGCCCCAATTTCCATACCTGTGAATGAGTATAATCATTCCCGCGTGACCCCTATGTCACACAGTCGCTGGGAGGGATAAACGAGATAATAAGACGTGAAATCATAGAACGACCACGACTGGTCACCACCTGCTTCCTTCCCCCCAACCTTCACCAGGTAGCTCGGCTCCTCCCTTTGTAAGATGATAATGATAGGGCTGGGCAGTCTCTGACCTTGGCCTCCCCTGCAGGCCCTTGAGTGAGATAAGCGGGCCGCAGGGTGGACAGGGAACCATTAGCAGACAGCAGCTCGGGAGGCACACAGCCTGCCCTAGGCCAGCAGCCCAGGCTGTTCAGACGGAGGAGAGAGCTAGTGCCAAGTTCCAAATACCGAATGCCTGGCAGATTGCTGCAGAGGTCCAGTGTACACACGAGGCTTGGGGTACGCACAGGGATAGGAGATAAGCAGGTAGTGACTTCCATTGAAGCTGCAGAGGAGAGACCCTCGCTCTTGTCAGACATCTGCAGGCTGCATCGGAGAGGCCCAGGCCATCTGACTCTGCCCACTTGGCTCAGGCCCTCCCACCCTGCCACCTGCCTCCTGGTACACTCCCTTACCCATTGTGCTCTCACACCTCCATCCAGCACAGCTTTCAGCCTGCGAGGACTGGAGGACGACCTCAGGAGGAATTAGAGAGAAGCCATCGAAGGAGACAGAGATACGTATACAAGTCCTGGAGTGGGGGCAGGGACCGTTCTGCTCTATTTCACTTTGGAGAACTCCATCAATAATGCAGAATCAGACTCTGATCGGGGTCTGGGCACTGGGGCACCAGGCAGCCAATCAGAACCCTTCACCTTCCCCTCCCACCCCTGCTGCCCTAGGGTATGAGCTCATGGCTCCTCCTTCCCCCACACTGAGGCTCCCAGGGAATTGGTGTTGTGCTGGCAGTGCCAAGCCCCAGACCTCTCCTGGCCCGGCTGATGACGCAGAAGTGCTGGTTCCAAACAAGAGACAACGGACAGGGACAGACATTCCAGGAGGGTTGGGGACTGAAGGCGGAGCCACACCTAGTAGTTTTACAGAAGCCGAGAGGGGCACCCCGAGCCCAGCTCCCACCTGCCAGACCGCCCCCACCTCCAGCAGCCCAGGAGCCAGGCTGTGTGGCTAAACCCTCCCCACCCCAGAAGCAGCCTCTGAGCTCTGACACTTGCAGAGACGGTTCCTATAGGACTGAGGCCTTGTGCATGTATTACATACACTTCAACCCCCACCCCGCAGCCCCCCAACTGTATCTAAGACAGGTTCTAGGCACCATCCAGGTGGGGAGACAGACAAGTTGGACGTGCCTGGATGTTACCTGGAGTCATTATCCGGAGGCTGTGCAAAGTAGGGCGGGTGGGAGCGGGGGTCAGGCCCTGGTGTAGACTTGCTGCGCAAGACAGGGACGGGACGGCCACTCACACGGCTGAGTCTGTCTGTTGCCACAGGAACGGCCTGGACTGAATGGCCCTTTCATGGGGCAGTGGGAGGCCGAGGCGATTGGCTGCCATCCCTGGGACCCCTCCCTGCCCAGTGTGGGGCCCCCACTGCCCAGTTCCTTTCACTGTTTACCCAGAGCTGGCAAGTACAGGCATGCAGCTCCAAGCGCCTCGGCGTGGGCCACGCCACCTTGGGCAGCAGGGCAACCACCTGCCACGCCCCTCCTTCCAGGCACCCCGACTCTCCCTATTCCCTACCAGATGGTCCCCAATGCCTCGCTCAGTGGCTCCTCTCAGGGGGAGAAGCAGCATTCCTTCCCACTGCCCAAGGCACTCAGCTCTCTGGGGGGACACCTGAGCAGGGGCGGCCATTGCCTGGCAAGCAGGTGCTTCACTCTGAGACTCAGGCATGGAGCATCGGAGGACTTCACCGTGCAGCAACAGACCACATCCTCTGAGACCCTTACAGGGACAGACACCCACCAGGCCCTCAAAATGTGTCCTGCCTTCTAAGCGTGCTGCCATGGAGGCTCCCTAAAGCCATTGTGGGCTTAAGCTTGGATTTATTCTGACATAAATGTCCTGTGCGCTAACACATACTCATTACAAGAATGAAATTCTTTCAAGTATGCTGGAATGAAAATCAAAGTATCTATGTGCATTTCAGAGCCTAAATAAATTAGTGTCAGTAGGTAGGCTTATTAATCAGGTTTTCTGTGTCTGTGGGAGCCCATTTAGGGTTACTGAGGCCTCTTGCGGTGCTAAGCCTGGGGACATGGCATGTTAACTCCCTTCATCTTCCTTGTCACTGAGTCTCAGGTGCAGCAAGCAGACCCATTTCACAGGTGAGGAAGGCAAAGTTCCTGGAAGTGAGCTGGGTTTCCCCAAGTCACCTGGAGTAATTGCTGAGCTGAGCTGGGGACCCATGCTCTTGTGCCTTCTTCCCACTAGGGCCACCCTAAAGCCAGCCCCCGCTGCTTCTCATTTCCTGGGACCCTCCTCGGGGTTAGAGGCAGGCCGGGGTATTCCTGTGAGCTCCGGGACTGGGGGATGTTGTCTTTCCCCACTTCCAGGAGCTGGATGCTCTTGGTGCAGCCAGAGCTTACTTAGGTGTGCGGACTCTCACAGGGGGACCCCCCCTCGGGATTTTCCTTGCAGGTGACAGTAAAGCCAGGCACAACCTGAGCCGCTAAACAAGAAAGTGTAGGAGGCCTCTGGTTCCACTTGCTCAAGGCAGTAAATTCCCGCGGGTCTCCCTGGCACCAGCTCGGGCCCTGGGCCCCAGGCCTGGTTCTGAATGTGTCCCCAGTCTTCTGTCCTGGCTGCAGCTTGGCCCACTGCCCAGGGTCCCCATGCAAGGTGAGTCAGGGGTTTAAAGGAACCCTGTCCCCTTGGGGCAGCCAACCCCCTTGCGTCAGTCAGTGTCATTTCCTGTGGCTCACGTGAAGTGCTCAGGAACCTGCCCAGCCAGGAGAGGGACTCGCTCCCCAAGAATTCCAGGCACTTCTGGCCCTGGGGGCAGGGGATGGGTGATGCTCCACCTCCCAGCACCCTGCCCGGCCTCCCCTTCCCACAGGTGTACTCCAGCTCTTGGGGTGACAACCTGTGGCTCTGGTCCTGCCCACAGCGTCCAGAAAGAGAGTCCTGAGCTGAGTTCCAGGGCTCTCACCTGAGCATGGTGAAGTCCCTTCCCTCCTACCCACCTGCCTAGGACAGGTGAGTGGGGTGTCCCAGTTAGTGTCACCAGGTGCTTAGGAACCTCCACAGCAGTGACCTCAGAGCTTCCCAAAGCTGCTTGCTAACAGCATCAGAATGTGCTGACCCTGAAAGGGTGAAGTAAGACAGGGACCCCATCTGACATGCTGACCTTCAGCCCTTGCTGTGCCAGGCCACCTGCTACAGCGTGTGGGCACAAGCATGAGGGATGTCCTGGCAGGATGGAGGGTGCCGGTAGAGGGTGGGGGTGGGGCAGGTTGTCTGGGAACTTTGCCCACTCTCAGGCCCCAGGGAGCGGCTGCCAGCCCCCTCCCTGTCTGCCTGTCACAAGCAGTTTTTTTTGTTTGTTTGTTTTTCTGTCTTGTGGTAGCACCCCAGGGCCCCTGCCTTGGCAGGGGGGCTTGAGGGAATTTAGAGTCCTGGTCCCTAGGGGTTGCCCAGGGGCCTCAGGAATGGGGGAGAGAGGAGAGATAAAGAGGCTGGAGATGGCTGCGGGGGTCCTGTCTCTAAGGTGCTTCCTGAAGAGGTAGGGAATAGAGGGGTGGTCATCCTTATACTGTCAAGAGACGGCAAAGACACGGGCCTGCAGGTGGTACCTGCGCTCAGACCCTC